CTGTGCCTGGCCTCCCTTTTACTTTTTTTTGAATTATCTTTCTCTTTACCCAAACTGAGCTAAGGCCAAGGCCTTTTGAGGTGCTGAGTTTTATATACTGAAACTAAAATACTTGATTAGTTTATTTAATTCAGAAGAGGGTAGTCCCTTTACAGAATACAAACTAATATAACTTAAGCTCAACCTTTGATGACTTTGGAGAGTACTCTTATCCAATGTTTTAATAAAATGTGCAGTCAGATAAATTCAGTAAATGCTGCACACTGACCTCCCTTGTGAAAGTACGTATTAGCATATTTGAGACTGAGAGGTATTTCTGGAAAGAACCCTTTTTAAAATTAGTTTGATAGGATTTCACAAACTTACTTGAGTACAGGACCCTTACTGTGTATTATTCATTTCAGTATCTTTAGTCTATCTCAATAGCAGCCTTCCTTCTTTCCTATGAGGCATTCTCTGCTGATTCTTTAAGAATTTAGGAATATTAACTAATTCTAATTATTGCTGTTGTTTCTTATTTTCATAACTTTGAGTTCCAAGAGGTAAATATATAGTATATAAACTAATAGCAGTTTATAATACAAAAAGTGAGTAATCTTTAATTTCTAAAAGTGTGATATACTTCACGAGTGGATTCTTGGATTTATTTTCAAGAGACATGGGAATCCACTTAATCTTCATTACTGCTTATAGGTAACAATTTAATGTTCTTTCTCCATTATTCTTGTCTCTGTTTTTAACAGCTATTTTTAAATGCTAACAATAAGGTGGCAGACAAGAATGAGAAAGACCTTGCCAACAAATTACTGACAGAAATGAATGAGGACCAGGTATCTACACAGCCTGCATCTTGTTTCAGCTGAAGTACAGAATCAGTCAATGGGAGTAACTATTCCTGTACTTTTCTTCTTATATCTGAAAATACACAAACAGCATCTAATTCTAATATTCACTAATTACTTTTGAAAATTATTTAAAAATTGAAATGAAAATTGCTTTCATCTAAAGGATAAATATCTTCATGGTTGATACAAATAATCAATAGAATTCCTTCTATATGTGTATTTTTTTTTTTAGTTTGAGGAGATATAAAGTACAGGAATGGGATCCCAAATATCAATGCTGTCCACCTGGTGGTGACTTCATATTTTGGGGGCTTCCTTTTCTAAGCACTGTGGTACATTGAGACCTGAGGGCTTTGTTTGTGAATATGTATGGTCATTGTTAATATCTTGATTCTTTGCTTCTTATTGACAAGTAATGATTATAATTTAATGGACAATTCAAATCTTGGAGGAAGGGAAGAAGATGCCGAATGCTTTGAGTGTTAATTTAGCATAAAACTTGACTTTTTTCCATTGTAAGAATTCAACTCAATATGGGTATGATAAAGTAAAAATATGTAGTTTTGTTGCTTCTCACAGATAATTTAGTTTGAACGAAAACTGCCTATAAAAATTACTTTGCTATTTTTCTTTTCCAAAATGTTTTTGAGAGAACTTACATTATATCTTTTATTAATGTTGTTTTAATGTCCAGGTTTATAAATAGAGCTATGGTATAACAAGAGACATTATAATCTGTTGTTTTCTATTCTGGATGTGAAATATCAATTTACAGAGTACTGTTTTAGATTTTTCTGTAAGTATTAATCTATCTTAAGGCCTACTTACATGGATTAATAAAACAATTATAATAGTCTCTTAAAGGCTTATGTTACACTTCCAAATTGTAGGTGAAATTAGGTTTTTTTTTTTTTGCTTACTTCTCTTGGATGAAGTCTAGGACAGATTTTATTTGTATGAAATTCTGCCGTATGCAGAATGTTTAGTGCATATTGTAATATGTTTATTGTATGCAATATTTAACAAACAATATCAACAAAAACCAGGATTCCAGATTAAATAACTTGCCTAAAAGTGGTTGAGCTTAGCTTGATACTACAAAGATCTAGTACTCAAATGTGTTTTGCTGGGAGGGAGAGAGTAAAATACTATTCGTGGAGTGACTACAGTCAGATCATAGTAATATATTCCTGAAAGAAGATTTTTAGGACTGTTTTTACAACTTTCTAGTCCTCATTCTATGCTTTCATGATTGACTAAGCCTGATATAACAGTCGTGTTCTGTCTTTTAATATTGTTGATGTTAGCTTTGGTTTCCGCAATAAATGCACTGCCCTGAAATTTAACACATCTATTCTTTTTTTTTTTTTTTTTTTGAGACAGAGTCTCACTCTTTTGCCCAGGTTAGAGTGAGTGCCGTGGCGTCAGCCTAGCTCACAGCAACCTCAAATTCCTGGGCTCAAGCGATCCTCCTGCCTCAGCCTCCCGAGTAGCTGGGACTACAGGCATGCGCCACCATGCCCGGCTAATTTTTCTATATATTTTTAGTTGTCCAATTAATTTCTTTCTATTTTTAGTAGAGACGGGGTCTCGCTCTTGCTCAGGCTGATTTCGAACTCCTGAGCTCAAACAATCCACCCTCCTCGGCCTCCCAGAGAGCTAGGATTACAGGCGTGAGCCACCGCTCCCAGCCTAACACATCTATTCTTTATGATGAAGCTTAAACAGTATAAGGCAAAATGAAGCTAGTTTTTATTTTTTCATAAAACTTTTGTCACTAAAAGATGCCTTCTCAAAAACATGATGGTACTTACGTATGTCATTTTTATGTATCTGCTTCAAAGTTTACATTTTATGTAAAAATAGATATAGATAATTGTTTACAAGTATGATTAATTGGTGTATGCACATACCGTTTCAGTTTTAACAAAGGGTTTGGAAATGAGGTGAAGATTATTTTAGCTATCTTATACATGCAAATGGAATTTAAACCCAGAAAGTTCAAGTGTATTTTTGAAGGGAAATTAAAACATAATAGCATTTCCAATGATAGATCTCCCTCCCTTCCTCTTGAGATTGTCCATTATTTTTAAAAAGCATGTATTAAGCTTGGTTCTTTTTTTCTCAAAACATTTTAATGTAATCAGTGAATGTTGCCTTAGCCTTCTTGACACATGGCTTATTTTCTGTGAAGTAGGTAACTTTTCTTGCAGGTTATAGTGTTTCAGAAATCTATTTCATTGAAAGAGGAATGTAATGCATGTTAAGTAATTATTTTTTTTTTTCCTCAGGTTTTCAGGACAAAGGTTTCCTAACTGAATAAAAATCTTGAACACATTTGTTAATTTCTTGCTTTTTCCCCCCCTCCACTGGTAGGCATTTCAGGGACAGTTGGATTGTTTGGCTGTATCAACGATTCAGGCTTTGACAGCAGTAATGAACAAGTCTCCAGCTGCTAAGGTGAACGAACCATATATCCCCCAAGCTTTAAGATGTTGTCTTAGTTGTACTAATTTTCACTATATAAATCTTGAAGTAATATATGAAAGTATATAATACTTATGGTTTAACACCTGAAATGAAATAGTTCACAAAATAATATCATCTTAGCATAAGAATAAATATACTAATGTTTGCTTATACTGCTGATAATTTTAAAGACAAATAAATCCCTGTGGGCACTACTTTAGGATTTTAAATGACATTGATGATTGAACTGCAAACTAATAGGGATTTACAATGTTGGTCAAAGAATGGGACAATAGTACTGGCGTTGAAATGTTGAAATGATCATTTTAAGTGATTCTATGGTTAGTGAATTTAAGAAATTATGTTTTATATTATAGTTTTTCTTCATTAATAAAATAATCACTATTTAGTCAGTTTATGACTGCCTAGAATATGAACATTTTTCACATGTGAATAGCCTATCAATTCGGGACTTGTTTTTCCAGGTTGTGTGGCCATGGGAATTCTGCTTCTTTGTAGTCACTAACCCTTAGGGTTTTCTGTCCCTTCTCATTCTCTACCATTGGCTATTCTTCTGTCCACTTATGCTGGTAGTTACCTTACATGCTGATAGTTACCTTATTGGTTGTTGTCAGAATTAGTGAGATCATCTGTGTAAAGTGGTTAGCCTAGTGCCAGGCAGATGCTAAGTGCTCAATAAATGTCAGTGACAGTTATTATTATTACCACTTTGTGCTTTTATTTGCCACGTCTAATATACCTCATGCTTTGTCTTTCTGGTACCAGAAATGAATTAATTACTCCCTGTTCCTTGAGCCATGCCTTCAGTTGTATTCCTTAGTTTCCATTTGTTTGTGTTAGGAGACTGTAACTTTTGCTTGAGAAATGTTAATGTAACTCATAGTTAGGTTACTGTTGAATAGGCTTTTACATCTTTTACAGTCTGGCTTATGACTTTAATCTCCATTTAATAGTAGTTTCTATAAGGAAGAAATCATTTTAACTTCTAAGTAATTGGTTTATGATTATAATGGACCACCTGTACTGTATTCTGAAATTCAAACTTAAAAGATACTCAAGTCTCTTTAAAAGATAATTTTTTTGACTATATAATATCTTACATGGTTTAAAATTCAAAAGGTTATATAACAAAAATACCCTTTTTTTTAAAAAAAAAAAGATTTCTTTCCTATCCTTGATCTATAATCAACCTAGAAGCAACCAGTCTTACTGGTTTTATTTAATCCTTTTGATATTTTAGTGAGTGTATATATTTCTACCTAATTTAATGGGCCAGTTTAGTATGTTCTAGGTTTTTTGATTGTCTTTATATTTCACTTCATGGCTTTGGGTGCCCACTCGTTCAAAAATACATGTGATGTAGGACTTCCTAAAATGAACTTGGTGCTCCAGATAATTCAGGCCATTTAGATACAAAATAGCAGAGAGAAAACTCTTTGTACTCAGTTTCTTTCTAGCCACCACTCAAAATTGCCAGAACTCTTTAGTCTAATCCTTTGAGGTTTATGTCTGACTCCTTTTACCCTTAAAGTCTCATTTTTTCTCTATTTTCGTTTTGACTTCACCTAATACTCTACTAATTACAAATCAAGTGAAAAAAGTAGAGAAAGTGTCATGCCCTAATCTGCAAATAATATAATAATTTTATAATACACAGTTAATGCTAATTTCATTTTTTTTTTACATTTTGGTAGATTATTGTAACTTTATTATTCTAGAAAATATATGGATTCTGTTTTAAGATGAAGGCATGTGACTTAAGAAAACATGTGGAATTCATAATATTTTTATTTAATATTAAGTTAATTAGCTTAAATGGGTATTGTTCACTATTTTTAATATTCCAACAAATTTAGTTTTTGAAAATGTGCTTTGATATACTGTTTTCCCCTTCTAGGAAGTATTTAAAGAAAGAATTGGTTACACACATATGTTTGAAGTATTAAAATCCCTGGGTCAGCCACCACTGGAACTACTTAAAGAACTTATGAATATGGTGAGTTTTTAATCTTTATTAAAAGAAGTTCCATTATCTCCATTTCAAAAATGACAACTAACCTTTTGTCTTTTATGTTGCTTTCCAGGCTGTAGAGGGTGACCACACTTCAGTTGGGATTTTGGGCATTAGTAATGTCCAGCCTCTCTTGCTTCTTATCCAGTGGCTTCCAGAACTAGAATCCCATGATCTGCAAATCTTCATCTCTGATTGGCTAAAAAGAATTTGTTGTCTTAATAGGCAGAGTCGGACTATTTGTGTCAATGCAAACATGGGAATTAGAATCATTGAAACACTTGACTCCCATTCTTTCCTCCATCGAACTTGTGCTGAGAACTTGATTGCAATCCATGGTTCCTTGGGGAGTCATTCAGTGAGCTCAGAAGAAATCCGTCGACTACTACGATTGCTGAGAGTGGATGAATCTGAATATATTCACCCTTACATCACTCCTGTGACTCGAGCAATCCTGACAATGGCCCGAAAACTAAGTTTAGAGAGTGCACTGCAGTATTTTAATTTGTCACATAGTATGGCAGGAATTTCTGTGCCTCCCATACAGAAATGGCCAGGATCTGCCTTTTCTTTTAATGCTTGGTTTTGCTTGGATCAGGATCAGTTATTTCTTGGCATTGCTAACAAAGGAGGAAAAAGAAAACAATTGTACAGGTACTGGTCCAAGTTATGGAATATAGATGAATACTTCATAACAATATATGCTATGATTCTTAAACAGGGAAAAGTTTTTCCAAGCGTCTAATGTGTTTTTTTTAAGGGGGGAGAGTGAGGACGGGGATTCAATTTCCGTTTTTTTTCTTTTTTTTCTTTGAGACAGAGTCTCACTCTGTCACCCTGGGTAGAGTGCAGTGGTGTCCTAGTAGCTCACTGCAACCTCAAACTCCTGGGCTCAAGTGATCGTCCTGCCTCAGCCTCCGGAGTAGCTGGGACTACAGGCGGATGCTATAATGCCAGGCTAATTTTTCTATTTTTAGTAGAGATGTGGTCTCACTCTTGCTCAGGCTGGTCTTGAACTCCTGATCTCAAGTGATCCTCCTGCCTTGGCCTCCCAGAGTGCTAGGATTACATGTGTGAGCCACTGTGCCAGGCCAAGCATCTAGTTTTTAAATGTATAAGAATTTATCTAAAATGTTTTCATCCTTAGTCTGCACACAGCTTAATTATAAGTGCCTTATTGCTTTCATAATAATAGGCGTATATCTTAAATATTTTGTTGATTAAGTTCCGAGACTAGTTTGGAAACAAATTTCCTTCTTAGAAGTAGTGGAAATGTGGAGAAAAAAGGAATAATAAGTTTGAAAATGAATGATGATCTCTGTTCCATTGAACATGCTGTATATTTATATGAAGGAACAGAAAACCTATGTGTATGTACATCCAGACTTTACTAGCTAGTAATTTTTAATATGTCTTGTGATTTTTAAGACCTTTATTTATGCTTTCTGAATCTTATGTGGAAGAATTTTGAAAATTTGAAAATTTATGGTTTTATTTTTGCTAGTGGAATTCCACTTATAAGGCTACCTTTTATAATCTACTAAACTCTTATGCCCAAAAAGGGTTTTAAAAATACCTTTGAAACAACACTGCATTGATGTGTGACAATAGAATGTAAACCATAGCATTGTTGATAAAGATGTACATGATGGCTTTATGATTTTGTATGCTTCGATGATGATGAAACTCAACAAGTGGCTTCAAGTGTTCTGATAATATATATTTTTGTTAGCTTTTTTACAGGAAGTGGCATGGGTTTTGAAGCTTTTATTACCCATTCAGGTATGTTGGTCGTGGCAGTGTGCACAAAAAGAGAATATGCAACAGTTATGCTTCCTGACCACAGTTTCTGTGATTCCCTCTGGGTAAGGTTTAGGGCATCACATTTAACTATTAATGTGGTTAATTTTATTTACCATCGTCATCATCACAAAATCAGGAGTAATCATTTTTCTGCTAAAGAAATTAAAATGAATGTTACGATTTCTTGGTTTTCTAGAAGCAAGTTTGATTTTGAATTTCAATTTTAAATGAGATGATAGGTTGTTAAAAACAATACCATTTCTATTGCTTTTCTAAAAATATATAATGCTTCTCATTAGATAAACTGATTCTAAATAATATAGCCTCAGAAATATAGAAAAGATACTATGTTACAGTCTGTGTAAATTTTCTAGAATAGGATTAAGTGCTTTTGTAGTACTGCAGAAAAAATTGTTATTCACTTTGAAAACATCATTTTAATCAGCATTTAACTATGCTTAATCTGAATGTTCAACTGTTCACACAAACTAGTTATAGAGCAATATTCTGAAAGCATTTTTCATTCCAAAGACATGATGTAGTTTTAGTCTTTTAAATGTGTGTTTTACTTCACCAGCACAACATAACCATTGTTCACATGCCTGGAAAAAGGCCCTTTGGTCAGAGCCTTGTCTATATCTATGATAATGGACAACAGAAGGTTTCTGCACCTCTCAGATTTCCTGCCATGAATGAAGTAAGCATATCTGACCTACTCTTTACAGATACAATTGAGAACTCCTGAAAATTTTCAGTTAATGTAGAAGGTTCTGTTTATTCTAAATATGTGCCCCAAAATTTTAAGGTGTTTTCTATATTCTAAGACACATTAAATTACTATTCAATTCTGTTAGCCTGTCATCATTAGGTGAAGTCAAACAATGAGAATAAAGGAAAACAATTCAAGGAAGAAACAAATGGAATTAAAGTCTTAGAAAAAGAGACTTATGACAGGAAAGCCAAAGAAATGAATACAATAGACCAAGGTGTCATTTAATAAAACTCTCCAAATACATGAAATACTTAAGAGAATATTATGATGAACTCTTTTCCATCTCCATTAAAGTTGAAACAATAAAGAAACTTAAAACCTTTACATTGCAGTTAGGTATAAAATAGAATTTATTTACTGAGATGGTTCTCAAAAAACACTAGTGTAAAAGTTCTTTGAGAATTTTGGTATAATTTTGAGAGGGCCTTTTCCGAAGGTAATGGAATGGAATAGATTATTTATCAAGTCCTAGGACTCAAATCATTTCTTCTGGCTTTTCATCTCAATGACCGTTCCAGGATAGCCTGTAATTAGTGTTAATACTCATGTGTAATTCTCTGTTTATAAATTTTAAGGGAGAAAAGTAATTCCCTTGATTTTAGGAAACAGTAAAGTTAAAAAGGGTTTTATAATATACACTCTTTAAAAATTCAAAATTTACAAAAGGATATAAAGTGGGTCATAAAAGTAATGCATCCAAATTCTACAGGCCAAAGGTCACACATAATAATTTCTTATGTGTACATATGCATGCACACATCATGATCCAGTAAAAATAAAACTTCCATTTTTATTTTCAATGTTTTTATTTTTGTAATTTTATGTACTGTTTAATTGTAAATAGGATAGATATTTAATTAAAATTGTATGATTTTTTTTGTTTTTTAATTTTTAGCCTTTTACTTCATGTTGTATTGGTTCAGCTGGACAAAGAACCACCACTCCTCCACCATCCCAAATCCCAGATCCACCTTTTTCTTCTCCCATTACCCCTCATCGGACATCATTTGGTGGAATTCTTTCATCAGCCTCCTGGGGAGGAACAATCGAAAAATCAAAATTGATTACCAAATTGATATCAGCTGGAACCCAAGACAGTGAATGGGGATGTCCCACATCTCTGGAGGGTCAGCTAGGGTCTGTTATCATCTTCTATGAAGCACTACAGCCTTCTCAGGTGAAGGCGTTATATTTAGCAGGTGAGCATGTACCGTCATAATGCTTAATTAAATTTAGAGTTTTTTCTGTTGTCTAAATGTATTCTCAAGAATATATTTAATCTGAAGAGTGTATTTGTTTTAATCGAAGCTGAAAGGGAAGAAAAAGCCCACCACATACCATACTTTTTTTGGTAGGCATAAATAAAGCAAACCTTCAGAAAATACTTTAAAAATCATCCATAATACTGCCTCTATTAGTCTGCTATGGCTGCCATAACAAAATACCACAGACTGGGTAGCTTTAACAACAGCAGTTTATTTTCTCACAGTCTGGAAGCTAGACGTTCAAGATCAGGGTGCCATCAGGATTGATTTCTAGTGAGGTTTCTGCTCCTGACTTATAGGTCACTGCCTTCTTGCTGTGTCTTCACATGGTCTTTTCTCTGTGTGCACATGAACAGAGAAAGAGATCTCTGGTATCTCTTCTTTTCTTATAAGGGCCCCATCCTTATGACTTCATTTAACCTTAATTACATCCTTAAAGTCCCTTAATTACATCCTTAAAGTCCCTAGTTCCAAATATGGTCACGTCGTGGGTTATGGCTTTAACATAAGAATTTTAGGGGAACACAGTTTGGTCCATAACACTGCCAGTACTTTTGACAGATTTTAATGAATTGAAACAAAATATAAGTCTATCTCCATAAGAAATTATATAACTGATTCCAAAGTCATGAGTCTTATTCCAAAACTTACCATTTTTACAATTGATGTATTAATGTATGTGAAGAATCCATGAAGGCAGTAGAATTAGGAGACCTTGGATAAGTTTACAACTGGTTTTTTTGTTATTGTTTTGGCTTTTTCTTTTTCTTTTGGCTATGATTTTAAACATAAATACCAATGGTTATTATTGAATCCTAATTACTTTCAAAATTATATCTATATTCTAGCAGTATGTTCAGGAGTTAAGCCTTTAAGAGTCATATACATTAACTCAGCAGAATAGCTTATTTGTCAAAATGTCTTTTAGATTGCATGGGAATTTGGAGATGAATGGGACTGTCCAGATTTTCAAAGTTTATATTAGAACCTTATCATTACTTTGAAACTCACCCAAATATTTGAAGGTGATCTATAATCTAAATAAATTCGAAGTTAATAATAAGTCATTTAGTGTAGTTCTTACAGCTTTCTAGTTTAGATTTTGTTCTTACAATTTTTCCTACTCATTATTTTACTTTTAAATAATAATTGTTACATAATT